ATATGATATGATATGATATGATATGATTACTATATTTTGGAGAGAGGAAGTGGGGGAGAGGGGCAGAAAGAGAGGGAGAGAGAGAGCCTGGCACTGGGCTCAGTCCCACGACCCTGGGATTGTGACCTGAGCTGAAACTGAGAGTTGGATGACCAACTGACTGAGCCATCCGGGCGCTCCAAAAGCCTTTCATTTTGTACAGGTCTTTGGAGCTCCTTTCTACCTGCTAGACAGGACGCTGCCCAGTTCATGAAGTGCTGAATAAAGCCAATACAACCTTTAAATTTTACTCAGGTGAATGTCAAGACCGCCAACAGGTTTCTTGCCTGTGCGTCAGGCACCATTTTAAGCATTCAATCTGCACAAATTTCTTTAATCCTCATAACTACTAGGAGTGGGTGCTGTTATTATCCCCATTGGTAGATGAAGAAACTGAGGCTGGGAACTTGAGTGGCTTGCCCAGGCAATGAGCCAGTCGACTTCCGCAAACAGGCAGAAACCTTTACCCTCCAGGAATGATTACCCTCCAGTAATGATGCCTCCGGTTCCTTTTTAATGCCTTTTTAATCATTTCTCCTTGCCCCATCTTTTGGATCTCCAATTTTCTTAGGGATTAACTGAAGCAACCTGGGAGAATATTTCATAAAGGTAAATAGTATTCTGGGGTGCGTGGGTGGCTCCATTGGTTAAGCACCTGACTCCTGACTTCAGCTCAGGTCATGATCTCACCGTTTGTGAGTTCGAGTCCCATGTCGGGCTCTGCGCTGAGGGTGTGGAGCCTGCTTGGGATTCTCTCTCTCTCTTCTCTCTGCCCCCCGACTTCTCAAAATAAATAAATAAATAAACTTAAAAAAGTATTAAATAGTATTCTGACATCTTCCAAATTTGTGTCGTCTGGACCCTGCCTGTTATTATCCATAGATTTGTTTTACAAAGTTAAAACCAGAGTAGCATAGCGTGCTCTTTCATCGGGAGGGGGTCTGGGGAGTTGTCTACCCTGCATGATAACTTAGGTGGAGACGAATGCTGTGTGCCCCCTTCCCCCAGTGCAGGCTTGAAAAGGTGGGCTTGGCCACCTGGCCACTGCAAAGAGTCTACCTGATGGGAGGAAGGGGCAGTGCACAGAGTCAGGGACTGTTTGGGGGAATGGCTAAATTTAGGGTTCTTGGGGAGAGGAAACAGTAGAAGAGAAAGACGGTGAGGAAAGTGAAGGCCAGGAAATGTTATAGGCTAATTCAGACTCGACTGTATCAGGCGTGGGGAGCTAGTGCAGGTATCTGGCTGTGGGGTAAAGCTCTCGGGGCTGTGCTTCAGGGTGGTGTGGTTGGAGCAGTGGTCAGGTGACTGGGAAGGGGCGGGAACAGACTGCTGGCAGGGAAATCAGTTTAGAAATGACCATAAATAGCTCTGCTATCA